GAGTGCAAGGTAGCCTAGTGGTTAAGAGGACAAGTTCTAGAGAAAGTCCAAGTTTGAGCTTCCTCTGCTACTAAATGATAGTAGAGCCTTGAACAAGTTATTTAACCTCTTTTTACCACATTTCTTCATCTATAAAATGGGGATAGTAGTAATAAAACTCCTCCTTTATAGAGCCTTTTACCTAAGAATTCAGAACATTTTTAAACATTCAAAACATTTTAAACAAATCTTATCACATTGTAAATGCTAAATACGTATTAGTTCTTAGATACTAATAATGAATCAAAAATATCCCTTGATGTCTTCCAAGGATAACTTGAGGGGATTGAATATTTTCTTCAAGATAGAGGAATTGTATTTCTTTCTCCCCAAACAAGGCATTGAAAAGCAAAACACTGAAGGAAAATTTCCTCCACATTTTGTTTATGTGCTTTGTTTACTGAACATAAGGCCATTAAAATCATTTAAGTTTATAGAACATGAAAACATATATTAGGGCAAGGGAAATGCTGATGCTGAAAACATTTGCTTTTATTGTGTTGCTGGTTAAATAAGGCAAATCTCACTTGGCCAGTGAAATACTGCTTTCTCAAAGAACTCCAGGAAGATTTACTACCCAACTGCCCCCAAATGATGCTTCTGCTCAAATCCAACGTATCCTAGGGGCATAAACGACAGCAGAAACAAACAAACATTCTGGCAGAAGCTGAGCTTAATGTAAGCTCTACCTGGTAATAAATTATTTAACGAGTCTCCCACTTTGGGGAAAGCATGAGGAAAAGTTTTATTGTGGGTATGACAGGCTGTCCTCAAGCATGAGTGACAGCGGGAAATTGTATCTTCTTTGGCAATGATGGAAGTGTCCTGGGTTAACTGATTTTAGAACAATGGGTTTCTTTTTGTTTTCATGTACTAAATCAGTTTCACTTCCATAAATATAGTATGCATTTAGGAATTATAAAAATTATTGCACACTGGGATGGTTTTGAGTAACAATAAATATTAGAGGAATCAAGTGAAGCTGAGAAGAAAAACTAATCTGCTCATAATACAATTTAAACTATTGCTCCTATGTGTTGTCAGTTATATGCTCAGTATTATTAGAAGCAGTATTACCGTAAGCTGAAAATGACCAGAAGCTGTGTTATAGACCAGTATGTTGTTTCAACCTTTGTGTAGATTTGGTACAAATTGCTTCACTCCTATGTGGAGCCCATGGAATAGACGATATGAATTTGGAAACTTTACTCCTGGCCCAAGCAGCCATTGCTCTTTTTATTATGAATCACATTTGGAACCTAAAGAACAATCTGTGCATGGATGTTGGTCACTGGACTAGAGAGACCCAACTGTGTCCTAAGCCCCATCTATGCTTAGAAAGCTCTCACTATTTCCCACTGCTGCCTCCACACTGGTCTCAGAGATCCTGATGCTTTTTCAAATATTTAGCAGAAGCATCTCTTCAGACCTGCCCTTGTGTGCCTAATGATACAGCTGATACAAAACTGAGACATTTGAGTCAGATTTTCTCAAAGTCTCAGGCATCACAGAAAGAAAAACTAATACATTCTTAGAGTAGTATGACAGCTTGTCAGCTGTCATTATTACTACTTAATAAATATAACTCATTTGCTGGGTTCACAGTATCTATATAATATTCAGATCTTAAGGACAAATTGAAATGATGCATGTGGAAGTACATTGTTTATGTTACAAATCATGGCATGAATAGAAGAATAACATTATAATTTTTGACATTTATACATTCTATGCCTTAAATTTCACTATGTATTACCCATTACTAAAAATATTTGAAGGGTAAGCCTGGTGATTAAAGAAATATGACTTAGGGTGATACACTTATAGTTAGCTCCTGAAACTTTGTACTTTTCTTTAAGATGAGAAAATTTTCACTCCAGCTTGTGGTATACAGAAAATATCATTATATGATTATTTATACCACAAGGGAAGTGTGGAAATAATTTGAGAGGGAAAGTGGGGAGAGAGAAAAAAAAAGAAGAAGAAATTAATTCATAAGGTTTCTAGATTTGCTTCATAATTGAGGTATATTATTAACTGAACTGTAGTTTGCAGTCTTTGCTTATTATGGCTTTTGATTCATTTATTTCTGGTTCATTTGCTTTTCATAAATTCTAGAGTCCCAGAGGTACTGCAGATGCATTGCTGAATTGGTTCTTGCCACAGTAACCTTTTATTTCTCTGCTTAAGGCATATGTTTTACGATGCTGGTTTGTCTTGGATAACATCAAGTCATTCTGACATAATGCAGGCTCAACAGCACCAAGTGAACTTTGCAGAATCCAGACAACTTCCTCCTGTCATTGGCCCCACCTCCTTCTTAAATCTACCACCTGCTCATTTTCTTTACCACCTTTACTTGCCTTTCTTTGTCCCCAACACCTTCCTCTGATGCGCATATTCCTTAGAGAGAACGAAACATACAATGTTCAACCAGAAAGAGAATGCTTCTTAATTTCCTTCCTCTGTTCCTCCTTCCCTTCCCTCTTCCTTCCTTCTATCTATCCTTCCTGCCTTCTTCTTCATGCAACAGTGAGAACCAGTGATATGACAGATACTGTGCTGTGTCTAATAGACACAGATATAACCACGATACAGTCCCCCAGTCATCCAGGACGCTGCAGTCTGACGGAGATGACAGGCACTCCAACATGTTATTACATGAAAGTGAGAAAATGTGTGAATGTGATGCTGTGAGTGCAGAGAAACAGGACACATACCTGGAGACAAGGGAGACAGCTTCCCAGGTCATGGGACGTTTGAGCCTGTAGAAAAGACGAGGCTGAACTCGGGACCCGAACAAGAACGTGGGGAGATCAATTGTACCAAAGAAATGAATTTCATCCTGTGAAGCAGAGGTCAGCAAACGAAGGCCTTCAGGCCAAATCCACATTCTGCAACCTATCTTTGTAAATGGCTTTGTTGGAACACAGCATGCCCATTAGTCCGGTATTGTGTTTTGCTACTTTCATGCTACAATGGCAGAGGTTAGTTGAGGCAGAGACCATATGGCCCACAAAACCTAAATCTTTACTATCTGGCTTTCTACAGAAAAAACAAATGCCAACCCCTGCTGAAGAGCAATACTTTCCAACTGCTTTTTTCTCCCACATCATGGCATAACATTTGAACAGCAAGTTGAGTTAAACAGAGATTCTGTTGCTGGTCAGAGGCAACTAGACCAAGGACTTGAACTACCTAGAGCCCTATCCGTAGGGCCTGGGGCTGGGGCGAGGGTCAGCATTTCAGTACACTGGCCATCCGCCGTTAGCACATTGGTTGGCAAAGAACTCTCTGATAAAATAAGAAGCCGCTGGAGAATATTTTAATCAAGAATTTACATATGTAATGTTTTAACCAGAATTTAAAAAGCATTGGAAAATACAAAAGTAACTCCTTAGGGAAACCAGAGGTTTAAAGGTATACAGTTCTAAGCAGGAAATTGACATTGATCAGGTAAAAAAAAAAAATTCTTTTTATTTAACAACTTTTATCTGCAAGATACACTGCTAGGTTCTGATGGGAAATAAAGGTATCGGTCTAATCATGGATCTGGAGTCAAGCCGGTAGAGCAGATTGCGTAGCTGTGTCCAAGCTCAGACCACTCACCACACCATAGCCAGTAAGTCAAGAGACAAGGTGTTGAGGCTAGGAAAGTGACTTTATTCAAGAGCCGGCAAACCAAGAAGATGGCAGATGAGTGTCTTAAAGAACTGTCTTAAGTTAACATAAACTTTAGGCTCCTTTTAGGTTAGGGGAAGTAGAATAAGGGAGAGGGTTGAGGTTAAGAGGTGACCAATGACCAAAGGCACCTGGGCAGCAGTGAGGGGCCAGGGGCATTGTGAAACTTGTCCATCAGGTCACATTGCTCCTAAAGAGCATTTAATGTAACGTTGTTACTTGCGTATACATCTTCCTTATCTCCTTGGGAACAAGCTTGGGGAAGGGACTATTATTACCCTAACTTTAAACTACAAACTAAATTCCTCCCATAGTTAGCTTGGCCTACATGCAGAAATCAGCAAAAGCAACTAATCTAAAAGAGACCACCACAGGAGGCTGGAGGGAGGCGGGTAGGAGCGAAATAGAGTTAGTCATGCTAGGCCTCCTTTTCACTGTTCCAATTACTCTGGAGAAGAAGGGTGATTAGACACACATGGTGGTATCAGCAAGGAGCCAGATTGCTGCTGAGCATCTTAGCACATGCTTTCCTCATGGGACTGGAAAGAGGGGCACCCCCTGTCTGCCCCTGGTTTACTCTGGAGCAGAGAAGAGCATGTGCCAACTGTGGCAGCCTTCTGTGTCTTAGATGCCGCCGATTGAGATAGAACTTAGAGCCCTAGGAACTGCCTTCTGCTTAGAAACAATAGGCAGTATAGGACATGACTACCTCATTATCAGATAAAGGCAGTTGCTCCTGTTCCTGATGCAATGCACCACCCACCCTGTTGCCAGAAATTCTGTTAGAGACTCGAGCTTTAAGAATGTCTTATTGAATCATAAAGACCTTTCCCTCCAGAAGTGAGTGAGCCGCTTTTATCTAACATCTTATTGAAGCTTCCTTCACTCATGAAAGATTTATTGAGCACTTTCATGATTTCAGGTGCTTGGCTAAGCCCTGGGGACACAGAGACAAATTCAACAGCCCCAGCTTGGTGGAGAAATAGCTTCACCAGACTCTGTAGGAATAACACCCAGGACAGCTACAGGAGTGGGGGATGGGGGAGGGTGGATGTGCCTGTGTTGGGAGGATGTTGGGGAGATGACAAGGACTTTTGAAGAGGAACAGAGGCAGGTGCAGAAAGAGAATGTGACAACTTTTAGCCACTTCACACATTTAGCCTCAGGCTGTCCCCGTAAGACAATTTCTTTTCATAACACAGGAGAAGCAGTACCACCCAAGCCTCATGTGTCTGCATGAAGTATTTACATATTTCTTTTCATTTTTTTCTCAGATAACCAATTGTTAATTTTCCACATAAAGGACTTGGTCATTAGAGAGCAAACCAGGAAAGCAACAGAAACAAGAAACAGATGCTTATCAGGACCAACTGATGCACAAAGCCAAACTGGCCTTTTGATCACTAGCTGCCATGCTCCTCAATGACATGATGGCCCTGGAGATGCCCTTCCTCCATCAGATGACCTGTGACTGCCTTTGTTCCTTTTCACCCTTCCCTGCTCTTGGTTTCAGGATGGCCCAAATAAGCTGGCCCAAAAACATAACTTCTCAAGGGACAATGTTTCAGTAGCTTCTTGCACAACCAGTCAGAGACCTCAAAAATAATGTGTCAAATAATCTAGGGCGCACTTTATTCAAGTCTTTTCAACTTTGTCTGTTTTCATTCTTTCTTTACTGTCACGAGGCACATAAGATGCATTTTGATTCCCAGCCCATTTCTTTGTTGGGAGTAAATCTGATGTCATATTCCTAGCAGGTGTGGACCATTAAGACTAGATTGTTTTCAAGATTATGTACCTGATAAATGACTTCCATCATACCCTAGCAATATAACCAGCCCTTTATAAAATTGCATGGTTACAGAGGGAGCAATTTAAAGTCTTTGCTAGCATAGGAGATCATCCAGTTCAATGACTAAATTTATTATATTAATAAGGCAAAGAGTGAAGCTTGGAAATGTCATCTGGTCTTAAGCCTTAGCAGATATGATGATCACATCTGATTAATCTGATGTGGTGCTTCATACTATGCTCAAAAGATGATAGAAAATTGTGATGGCATTTACCTTTTTCTTGCAAATTGCTCTTGAGATATTGCTACTTTCCAGGGAAAATTCACTAAACACTCATTTCTCAGAACTTGCTTCTAAAATATTCAAGTCAATTCAACCCTTACTTTGGAGGAAACGACTGTAGTATGTGCCAGGTATTGGACTAGCCACTTGGAAGCCAATGGTGTGCAAAATATTCCTACTTCCTTTTCTCAGGAAGCACAGCAAAAAAGAATAGAAACTCTGACGGAATTGCTATACAGAGTTTGCTGAATATTTTATTTGTGTCCCTTCCCTCTGATCCTCGCTCTACCTTTTCCAACCCTCCTTACCCCTGAATGCTGACCTGGATGAATATTGCCATGGTTAATTTTAGGCATCAACTCAGATAAGAATGGTTGCCAGTTGCTTCCTCAAATACCACCTGGATGTTGCGATTGGTGAGAGTAGTTTTTTAGATGTGATTAACATTTCAAATAGCACACTTTGAGCAAAACAGATTACCTTCCATAATGTGGGTGGCTTCATCCAATTAGGTGAAGATTTAGGGGAAAAGACCAGAATATCCCAAGAAGGAAGGAATTCTGCCTTAAGACTATCTTTATATCCCAAGAAGGAAGGAAGGAAGGAATTCTGCCTTAAGACTATCTTTAGACTCAAGACTGCAACATCAACTCTTCCTTGGATTTCCAGATTGACAGCCTACAGACTTTAGACTTGCCAGTCCCCACAATCACGTGAGGCTATTCCTTGGAATCTCTCACTCTCTCTCTCTCTCTGGGTGTGTGTGTGTGTGTGTGTGTGTGTGTGCATATATATATATATAAATGTGCATATATAAGTATATATACATATATATACAATCATATACATACATACATGCACATATATATATGCACACACACACACACACACACCCTATTGGCTCAGTTTCTCTAAAGAATCCTGAATAATACAGACGATATTCAAAGGCTCTCTTTCCTCTGACTTTAGATGCAGAAAGGAGCTCAGAGAGAGGAAGGAGATGGCCCCTTCCTGTGGGGCCATGGGTTAGCAATGACTGCATCCCTCCTGCGCAAGGCCATGGCACCTGTCCAGTGGCCCTTTCTTATGCTAATGTTATGGGTCTTCCTTTGTGTCCTGGTATCCACTCTGTCCTCTTAACCTCAGTCCCAGGGTAAGTGACAGTTCCTAATATTGTTTATTTGGATGTTTACCATACCTAGTTGATATTCTTCAATTCTACCTATGTAAATGGTTATTCCACCTAAGTTCTTCTAAATGTGTCCATTTGAATATGCCAGCTATTTCCTATTGAGACTGTGATTCTGATTTATATAAATTCAACAAAACACCCTATTGTCTACTTTAATCAAAAATAGTTTGAGAATACATACATTGGATAGAATGAGTAGATCACTTTTTCCTGGTGTCTGTGGATTATTTAGGGGGGTAAATTCTCTTCAGTGTGGCATGAACTTGTTTACAAATAATTTTTTTTTTATTTTTAGAGCTGAAAGGAAATTGATTAATCATCTAGCTCAGCCCGGATCCAACCCTATTTTCACACTGAAGAAGCTAAATGCAAAGAGAGGAAGAGACTGCACAGGATTACACTGGTAGCAACAGAACTGATTCAAGAACCCAGGGGAATCTAAAATTGTTAAGGTGGAATTTTATGACTCAGACCGTGACTTCAAGAGTATCTTAGATAAGAATTGTTTTGGACAAACTATAAAAGAAATTATTTAAAAGTTACTCTGCAAATGAAAAGAAAAGTCCCACTGAAGAGCTCCTGCTCACTGGAGAAGCCAGCATTGTACTTTATCCTTAATTTGCTCTAGTTATGGGTATTTACTCTCCAAAGCATTGGTGGACTATCCTGTTAGAAGCATATACCTATCCGCACAAACACTTATGACTCTGCCTAAATGCAGAGGTCTTTTCCTGCTATGATAAATACTATCAACATAAATACTTTCAACAGATAATGCAACTACGCCTTTGACGGCAGTCAATGTTTAATGAACTAGTAAAACCACCCAACCAGTTTACATCTGAGCAAAGATCTGTGCCTTTATACTTTAATATTGTTTATCAGTATCAGAGGCTATCTTAACATTTGTAATGGCCCCATTTCTGATAAATTGGATAAGACTGTCAAAATAAAAATGTGTTTATGAATACAGATCTTAATATAGCTATAATTGTTTACATTTAGACAATTATTCCCTATCATTGTTTTTAGGACTTTGGAGTAAACACATAAGAAACTATAGCATAGCCAAGAACCAAAAGTAGACTTTTTGTAGGCTTATAAAAAATGTGTCCAAAGGAACTTAGCAGCTACCCACACTCAATTCTCATAAGCCACTGAACAGCTGACAGGCATCCCTGAGATATTTCTAACTGTCTTGCCTGGATCCAACCCACTGAAGCAGCTTCAGCTCCACTTGCTAATCCCCTGAACCCTGCAGCCCTCCCACACTACAGAAGTGAGGTCCTTTTCTGGCTTCCTGCTGGCTCCAGGGGAAAAAGAGTTCATTTAGGTCTAGAAAGCCTAGGGATCCACCTGAACCCCAACACCACAAAAGGCTGTCCCCAGCCAAGGGCACAGTCAGCAGCTCAGCATTTAAGTGCTCCTTAGAAAAGGAGCAGAAGCTCTAGCTCAACTGGTAATATTGCCTCTTTTCTTTTCCTTCCCTCCTCCAGGGCCCTACCATTCCTGTCACACACTTTTAAAATATAGATTAAAAGCTTGTGATTCTATTTTTAGTTAAACTGTATTTTGTCAGCTTCAATGTGGTTTTCTCCCAGACATCAGTGTGGAGGTGCTTGTGATTTATCATCAGAGTCACAGGAGAGCAGGAACATGAGTTTCCCAAGCGCACTTTCTTCATCACAAGATTTGAATGTGTTTTTCTGGGAAGAAAATACACGTTCATTTAACATAGAGGAAGCAGGCCTTCCCCTTGGCATTTTTATCCTCAGGCTGCACAGGAAATCTATCACCAGAGGAACGTGATTTGCCCGGATTGTGCAAAGCCCAACAGGTGTTCTAGGAGGGCCAAATCCTGTGCAGTTTCAAATGCTTTTAATCAGCCAAGAAGGCAGAGAGGGAAGGAAGGAGGGAGAGAAGGAGGAAGGAAGCTCACATTTCCATACATTACATTTATCCAACCTTTATGAGCTCAATTGACCTCTAGGTCAGAGTCCAACATATTGAGGGGTAAAGGAGTTAACATGTGATGAGTTTTTGCTGTGTGCTGAGTCCTTTACATAATTTTTAATAAAAATTCCAGCTTACACTTCTTAAGCTCTTATGTCAGGCGTTATAGAAAGCATTTTCTGTGCTTTCAGTGGTTTAATGCTTATAACCATCCAGAAAGTATTTTTGTTCCTGTGTAAAGAGGGGAAAACTGATTCTGTCCCAGGACTTCAGTCAGTGCCTGAGCTGAAGTTTGTATATGGAGCTCTGCAAAATCTATCCTCTTTAATTTTTAAAATTCCTCACTAACTTAAAGTTTCAGTCTGTTTTAAAACTAGCAGGCTGAGAATAGATGTAGTTACATAAATTGTCCAAAACTGGACTCCCATTTAGCGGTGGGCTTTGATGCCCAAAGGCCAAGTTCCATCTACAGCGCCTTCTTACCGCTTGGATTCTGACTGAAATCAACATGTTTATAATGTTAACAAAAGACCATGAGATCTGTGAAGGAAAAAGGGAGAGCTTTATTTTCTATTTAAAAAAAAATCTAAGGATTGGGAAGACACAACCTTTGGTATAAAATGGAAGTGCACTCTGCAGAGGGGAGAGGAAGAACCAGAATTTATGTCTTTCAGGGGCCATCTAGCATGTGTATTCAGCATGTTTGGAGGATGTCTATGAATATTTACCAGGGAAGTCAAGCCCTGTGGCATTAGGCAAACATATATATAACAAAAATGTGCTTATTTTTAGGTAGAGTTTTAACATTAAAATAAGGTGAAATTCTATGTCAAAAGGTGAATTATAGGGCATGAAGACATTTGCACATGCTCCATAAGCTAGCTGAAACTGGGTTGAAGTCTGCGGCTGTTTATCAGGCAAGAATGTTTGTAAGGTCAGTCTCCCCTCCACTCGGAGTTGCTAGTGGGGCCACAAGGCAGGGTGGGGGCAATTTAGTTGGTTGGAGTTGGGTGGTCCACCCAGGTCAGTTGGGAAACTCTCAATTGTAGCTGTTTTAAGAGCTAGTTTTTGTTCACTTACAGGAAAGAAGACCTTATAGCAGCTGGTAATATAGGGGTACCTGACCGATCCTTCTCCTAGCTATGGCCATTTGATTTCATTTCTGGTGTGTCTCATTTTAGCCACAGGATGTCCATTTGGTCTGTCAGCTGGGGTATATTTTAACAATAATAATCTAAACAGTGGGTAGATGGAGGCTTTGAATTGTAATATTCCCTGCCTAGCCCCTTGTACCACCCCCCACTCTTACGCAGCAGTCTCGGCAGGAACTGAACTTCACCCTCACCAACACAGCCCCCACATCGTCACCATCTCCCTGTCTGTGTTCCTGCTATTAGCCACACTGCAGCCTGGTTACCAGGATCCAAGGAGGGAAGTTTCCCGCAGTAATTCAACATTTTTCCCCTACAGTTAAGACTCCAGACATGTAGCATTCTTGGCGTTTGTTATGCATTCATTCTGTAAATATTTATTAATATTCCTACATGAACTATGAATGCTCTTAAGTTTTTAGAGATGTGCAGACTTCACTGAGAGTCCTTATCCACAAAAATCTTAATACTGATATGGATAGGAGAAGGGAAATAGTAGGTAGAACCTGGCAGCTCCCCAGCAAAGATTCCACCCTTGAGCCTGGAAACCTGTGGCCCTAAATGAGAACGGGCATTCCTGTTTTCATGTCTAAATCTTGCCTTTTGGCCTACCACACCCCCTGAGTCTTGTGCCTGCATAAACTCCAAATCCCAGGCTCCATGAGAAGAGTAACAGAGTGGCAGAGCAACAGAAGGGAATGGCAGAGAATGAGAGAAAGGATGCATCTGAACGTCAAGTGGAGTTCAGCTGGGGATGGTCAGAGAGGAGATTGGCGGCAGGATGGCTGAACTCCAGGGGAAGATCATCTTTCCCCTCTATACCCTCTCCAGCTCCCCATCTCACTGAGAGCTACCTCCATTGCTCAGTAAAATTCCCACATTCACTGTCCTTCAAGTCTGTGTGACCTAATTCTTCCTGAACACCAGACAAGAATTCAGGACTCAGTAGGTGAGGGAACTCAAAAAGGCCATCACACTGACTCTTCACTGAGCTGTTTAACACTTAAGTCATCCCCAGACAGCAGGGCTAAAAGAGCATTGTAACACCTCTAGGCACTGCCAAGGGGCCAGAGCCCAAAAGTGCTCATCTTGGCTCCTGCACTTGCTTCCCTGAATGCTCCCCTCCCATAGGGGTTTGAGCACATGGAGGCCAAATAAATATGCCACACTCCTGTCGCACATCTCACAAGGGAGTCAGGGAACCCTCCTGTTTCAATATCTATTGTAGAAATAGTTATGTCAACCAAACATTTATGAATAAATTCCCTAGGACCTTTAAGTTAAGTTGAGATGCTATTAGTAGACCAAAAAGAAGTACCAAGTTTTCCTAGGGAGTCCCAAAGAAGCTAGCAACTGACCTGAGTCTTCAAAGAAAAATAAGTGTTTGCCAAGCCTAAAAGCTGACACATCAGACAGAAGCCCCAGCATGAGCAAAGGAAAAGTGGCCAGAGAGCACAGCAGATTCTGGAAACTCCACAGAGTTCCATGATGGGAATAGAGGTGTAGGAAGTGTGGCAGATTTTGTTATGTAAAAAGTTTTGCACTGTACTTTATAGGCCTCTGAGTCCTGAAAGAATCTATGCTCCTGGTTGCAGCTCAAGCTGAATCCATGACTAGCCTAGTTTGAGGGCCTGACATTGGCTCTATTAGATTGAATGCTCGGTTTCCATGTCTACTTCATCTCCCTCAGATCTAAGTTGATGGAATGGGACCAGATTTCCTGTGACCTCTTGTCCTTCCAATATGGTTAGAGCATCTCTGGCCAATGTGCTCCTCTCTCTTCCCTCCTCCCAGCAAAGCTTTGAATCTAAGATAAAACCACCTTTTGCCTTAGTGAATCATTACAATAATAATGGTATTTCTAAGAGCTTTTTGTCACTCTCTCCTCTTCTGTCCTACAGAAGCCTCAGGGGACTGATAAACAGCAAATGTTACATGATGTGAAAACTAAATCACACATCCAAAAGCTTCCTAATGAGGTTATTTTGGAAGGGAACACTATCCAGAAAGCAGAAATCAAAATGCCAAAAGGCAGAGAAAAGAATATTCTAAGCATTGCCTTTCTGATTTCCGAAGCCAAAGGAAATCCAGGAGGACCAGGAATACTTGAAGTTAAGAAAAATCTTAATACATTCACAGAAAGCCGATCATCACACAGGTGAGAATATGAACAAGAATAACCTTTTAATATCGCAGAGCAACATAGGACTCAACTTTTCCTTAAAAGCTTTCATAATTATCATCTCAGATGAGACACACACCTACCTTATAAAGGATGGATGCTCAGAGAAACTGGGGGCCAGATGTTTGAATAATTCCCATGGCCATGTGATTCACTGGTGGTAAAGCCTGGAGGGAACTCAGGACCTGTCTGTGGTCAGTATTTACATAATAAGCTGAATTTGACTTTTTTTTTTCTGGAAGAAATTTATATTATTTCACAAATATATGTTAGTATTAATTTTGTACCATTCAATATTCTAAATATGTAAAGATATTTACTCATTTAACCTTGAAACTAACCCTGGAGGCACAGAGGAACTATGTAACTTGACCTAGTTGCCACAGCTGATAATAGGGGCGGGATTTGAACCCCTGATGACTGATTCCAGAGGCAGGGCTCTTAAACATCACAGGCTGCTCCTGCCCTAAGTTCATTGATACCCTGTTCACACCTATACTTTTAAAACAAAGAAAGATTGTTAATCTCCGATCTATGTCTACTGACTTTCTAAAGACTGATTGACTTTTTAGAAGCTCACTCTTTCAGTTTCTTCAAAGTCAGTGCATTTCATTGTTGTAAACCCGGGGTTCTAATGTCTTACACGTGGGGTCCTCTGAAAACCCTTTCATGGGGTCCCTGAAATTCAAATCAGTTTTATAGTAATAGTAAGCCATTATTTGCCCTTTTCACTCTCATTCTGTCCCAAATGTGCAGTGGAGTTTTCAGCAGTTACCTAATACGTAATGTTGCAATGGATTAAATACAGAAGTGAATATAATATAGCCCTTGTCTGTTAAGCCAACTTTAACTTGCAATAATGTAAGACATTCACACTCTTCTCATTAAATTGTTTTATTTTGAAAAGCAATTATTCTTTATTAAAAATATTCTAACATGTAATGGGCTTATTGTTTTAAAATAAGTATTTTAAATTTTCTATTTTTAATTTCTAGTAAGTAATTATCAAAGGCTGTAACTCACATAAACAATAGCTATTTGGGGTCCTCAATGACTTAAAGAGTGCATAGGTCTCCTGAAACCCAAACTTTGAGAATTCTTGTCTTAGACCATTTTAAGTCTAACATAGAACCTAGCAATAATGAGCTCTAAGGTAGAGTTCCATAGATGCTAAATATTATAAAATTTTGGAGGTGACTTCTTCAGTGTCATGTCCACTCCTACTCAATTCTTTATTAATAAGTAAGAAAACTGAGGCTCGGATGAAGGGCTTGAACATTGTAGTTTAAAACTGGTACAATAACCTGTATTTTCATAATAAATTAAACTAAATTTTTCTCAGACTTTTGTTGCATAAGCTTGAAAACAGAATGGGAAATTAAAGAATAATGATAGGTAAAATGCCACATATTGATAGTATTTTAGAGTTTTCAAAGTGCTTTCATGCTCATAAACACTGGGAAATCTTGAACCCACAATGTGTGGTTCCTAGACCAGTGTAGATAGCCCTATTTTTTTGTGTTTAATTTTTATCAAATAAATATGAGTATTTAACTTTGAAAGCTAAATAGTGCTGTAAGAGTTACAGCTAAGATCAGTGACCCTCTGTCTCACCTGTGCTCACTCTAGAAATCTTATTCTCTAGGAGCAACCACTTTTAAGCATTTGAGTTTTTTTCTTATATCTTGTATTATTTCCAACTATGTTTCTATACTAACGTGCTTATTCTTCTATTTCTTGATTACTTTGTTTGCTGTTGTTTTGACTTTAAATTATGAAAAATAAGGAATTATCACTTGTTTGGCTCCTCTATTGCTTTATAAAAATTGACCCCAAAACATAAAAGCTTAAACAACAATCAATTATTACCACTTCTCACAGTTGTATGGTTTGACTAGGTTCAGCTAGACAT